TTTTTTTTTTTTTTTTTTTTTTTTTTTTTGAGAATGAACTTCATATAATTTAAATATTTCATTTTGAGGTATACGTATTTAACAGAGTGCATTTAATTCCGTGATTCCTGACTGCATTAATTAATTAAAGTAATTGAATTGAACTATTTTGAGGAAGTATAAAGAACACAGTGTTCTTTAATTTTAAACATAGAAACACTTAGGAAGAGCTTGTAAGGAAGATTTGCAAAATCTCGCGGCAGAACTAGGAGTTCATGTGACTGCAGATTTGAAAATAGTCGATTTAAAACAGAAAATTGTTGAAAGCAGAGATTATGATGAAGTATTCGTCAAAGGAGTCTTAGATACAATAATAGAAGAATGGAAAGAGAAGAACGGAAAGAGAGGGAGGAAAGAGAAGAACGTAGGAGACAGGAAGAAGCAAAGAGCTAAGAAGGAATGAACAGTATGAATTAGAGAGATTAAGACTTGAAGCAGAGACAAAGTCGCAAAACACCGGACAGATCCGGCCAAAAATGGAGCTGCGTCACCTTATGCCGAAATTCGAGGACAAGAAAGGAGATATCAGTCTATATTTGCTTTTGTTTGAGAGGCAAGCAGAATGGACTCAAATTGATAAAAAGGAATTTGTATCTCATTTACTAGGACTACTTCCTTAGGAAGTAACCCAGTTAATAGCTAGAGAACCCTCCGATAAACTTAAAACTATGAACATGTGAAGAATTTATTGTTAAGACGGTTTAAACTAAGCCTGGAAAAGTTTAGGCAGAAATTTATGAAACATCAAAAGAGTACAGAATCCACATGGGTGGATTTCAATTATGAAATAGAAAATTATTGCAAAGAATGGGTGACTGGTCTAGGAGTTAAGACTTTTGATCAGTTGCTAGATTTGATGGTGATTGACCAACTTAAGCTTCGAGTTCCTCCTGAAATTTGAGATCATTTTCTTGATGAGTGGCTAGAGATGATTTCATCTAAAAAATTAGCTAAAAAACTTGATGCCTATGAAAACGTTTGCGAAAACTTTCAAAAAAGGCCTGTAGTGGATCGAAGGAAAGAAAGATACAATGCACTAACTCAAAGTAAATTGAGTTCAGATAATAAAAATAAACTGAAAAAAAAATTGTCATCAGGATTTAATTCGCAAAGCTGGTTTCATAGACCTAGAAGTCCAGATGATAAATATGAAAAACGAAAGACTCCACAATGCTATCAATGTGAGTCCTATCAACATTTAAGACCCTAATGTCCAAAACTTAAGAATAGTACTGAATCTTCTGCTAATCTTAACAGAATTAGTGCAAAACCAGAGGATAAATTTCTATTACCTTATATTAGTATGGGTTACGTAAATGGTCATAAAATTCCTATATTAAGGAACGTGGAAGAGATCTAGGCACCGTCAAGAAAAAAAAAGAAGTCTAATTTGAACGTTCTCCATTTTTTTCTACTTAAATGTGGTGTAAAAAGTATTTGTTTAAAACTTAAAATTTTTGGCCTGAAATTTGGAAACTTGGGAAAGAAGTTACCCTTTCTTTTTAAGCAAATGAGCAAGCCGAGATTATAAACTTTCAAATTTTACAGACTTTTTCCCTTCGGTAAAAGTCTCTCCTTTGGGGGAGAGGTAGTAACAGCTTTAAATATTATTAAAATCTTGTAATTTAAAATAAATAATTTAATTAGATGAGCATTAAGGTATATGTGAATGGCAATGTTTGAAACCAGGTTCAAGTGCCATGTGTGACTCTCGCACGAAGAATGTTTTTTATTTTAAAATGTTAGAATTCGTTTTTTTTGTTTTGTATGTCGCCATTTTGAGTGCTAAATAAAGTTTTTTCTGTGTTCCATCATTGAAGTTGCTTCATATTGCCAAAGAAGTATCACAGCTCACATCTGCATAAGATTATATTCAATACAGTAATTGAAAAAATTGCTCTTTATGGTTGTGCAGTTTGGACTTTCCCTCTAAATGCAAGAAAAATTAAAAAACTTCAGGTGATTCAAAGGCCATTTCTACTTACTATATTAAGGAGCTATAGAACAACTTCCAATGCAGCCCTGTATGCACTTTAAAATACCCTTTCCCCTTTCCTCACAGCAGAAAAAATTGCAACCACAGATAGAGTTCTCCATCTAAAGAAAGATTCCACAATAGAAGACATCCAATTCGAAGCCAAGAACTATGAGCAACCAGAACAACCTTATGAAATTCATCCCACTATAGAACCAAATATTCATCTTACCACAACGACAACATGGAAGAAATATTCAATATGGAAATATTTACAGATGGCTCTAAAAATGAAGAAGGAGTTGGATGTGCCATAGTATAATAATACATCAAATGCACCAACAGCCAATAATTCTCAAATATCATCTAAATAGCATTAACACAGTTTTTCAAGCAGAAGCACTGGCCATCCAAAAGCAATAACTTAAAGCATCAGTAATAATTTGCCTGCGGTGAAAATCGAAACAGATTCCTTATGAAGCATGCACACAATTGCAAACCAGACACATAAATCACTTTATTATCAAAGCCGACAAATATACTAAAGAAGCAGCAAGCAATCAAAACTCTATTCCAACTGTTATCTCATTCCTTAAATCCCAAATTTAAAAAATCATGAGATAATGATTAAAAGATGGGAATACTGGTGGCAAAACGCACTACAAGGCAGAAGAGCCATAAGATTTATCCCAAACATCAAAGAGAAGAACAATAGCATTAACCCTTACATAAATTGGTATATTACTGGACATAGCCCCTTCCCCACATTCTATGAAAGAAATATCTCTGAAAGTGACCCATGTGTATATGGAGATAGGGACGATCCTGAGCACTACATTTTTTATTGTCCCATAGCAGAGGAACAACATCTTAAAAAACCAACTCAGAACTTGGATGCATTTTTAAGGTATGCAACATCAAATAAGCAGCTTCGAATAAAAATACAAAAAATAATCGAGCTCTTAGCAGCAAAAGTACAAGAGTTATGGGCCCTATGTAACACAATCTGTTTCAGTTTCTCTCACAACTGACGAAACGTATAAATCATGTACAGAACTTTGTATATAATAATCAGGGATTCTTAAACTGTGGGTTGCAACTCCCTCGAGTTCATGGGACCTGCAGCAGGGGGTCACCAAAAATTTTAGCAGTTTTGATATTTCTTTAGCTTATTATAATAATTTTGCAATTACCAAATATTTTTACGCAATGTATCTGAAAATAAATAAAGATAAGACAATCCAGACAAAGAGAAAAATGAAAACGTTTCGACACCTTCTTTTTATAATATAGAATCATTAGTTCATTTTCCTTGCTATTATCTAGTTCATTTTCCTTACTTTGCACGTGACGCTGTCATTTAGTCTGTTACTTATTTAAAATTTTCACATTGTTCTATATCATAAAATTAAAAATTGTAGTTAATGACCTAAAACTTCAATAGTATATTACAGTACAAGTGAAAAAATTGACAGTTTCATTCACGTGTGTGTCAGATTTGCAGAATACTTATGGGGTCCCACAAAATTTTTGTAAATATTATGGGATCCTGGGGGTCGTGAAAAAATCTCAGTGATAAAAAGGGGTTGGAAGTTTAAAAAGTTTATAAAACCCTGGTAATAATTAAGTAAGTACTTTAAACAATTTAAAAATTCAAATTAATATAACTGCACTACAGCATATATATTCATAACAGTGATATGTTAAGTAGAATTAATATGGTATAATTTTTATAATTTGGACTTTTGCAGACTATGTGATTGCAACAAAATAAATGCAAATACGAACTCTATGTAATAATATGCCTATATGTAAAAAGAATTCCCTGCAAGAGATGTAAGCATCACAGAACTGACTGAAAGAACTGTAGAACTTTAACCCACAAAATACTGAATCAAACAAATGTGTGAAAACAATCTTAATCTAAATGATTTAACAATATTTAACAATTTAATAATAAAATTTGTAACTACCATGTAAAATCAGTTGTACCACCATGTTGAAGTAATATTCATGTACCACCATGCATAATGCAACTTTTCATAGATATAAATATACAAACAAAGCACTCGCGACATGTGGATGTGCGCCTAATGCTCTGCCGGTAGGGGTAGGGCCCGCAGTGTAGTGTGAAGCGGGCATCTTTTGTTCCAAGCTAGGCTTTTCGGGCTCTATATGAAGTGTTTTGAAAATTTGCTACGCTTGCTGATTAAATTTTGCTTCAAAGATTTATTGCAGACTCATGTTTCCACTTAAAAAAACAAACCAAATAAAGTAAGCTTTCAAGCTATAATAGTTTGGATAATATGAAATCATTCAGAAAGAATATGTAACAAATTTTTTATGAAAGCCCTTTAGAGAAAAATTTCAATAAGAAGAGTATTTTTAGTAAGCAAATTACTCAATTTTCTTGAAATTTTCATTTCACAGGATTTTCATTTTCATATGATCAAAATTATCTGAGATATTATTCAAAATTTTGGGGAATGATTAAAATTTTAAAAGTAAGAAACATTTTTTACAAATTTGATACATTTTTGAAAGCTGAATCTGCATTTTATAGAACCTTTTTTTTAAACATTTTCTTTACATATAAGGAACAATTTACTAATTGGAATCTTTGGTTGGTAGACTGTATGAAAACTAAAAATTCCTATATTTTTACGTAAAGGTGTTATATAACCAAAATTACTGTATTTAAAATTAGGCAAAAAGTAACCTTAGTTTGGTGCAAATTTTTTATGAAACTTATAATTTCAAGTGCAATCAGATACAGGCCCTTCTGATCACCCTTAAAATCAACAGTGTTTTATTGAAAATCTGCACCAAACTAAGTTTTTTTTTTTGCCTAATTTTAAACTTTACATTCATTTTTTTTCTCTTATAATTAAAATTATTATGGACTGAAAGAGGACTTTATTCAATTTTCTTAATTTAGAACCATGACCTACCGTTTAGATAATTTGAAATATTTTATTCATTAAAGGAAAAAGAGAATTGAATGGACGTTATTCTACACCTCGTTCTGTAAAGGAGAATTCAAGCAAGGAAGAATCAAGAAGTGAAGTTAAACACTACGCTTTGAGGCAAAGAATGAAACAAGGTAAATATCTTAAGTATTTAATAATTTATATTAGCTGCTTTATATCTGTTATTTTAAGATCTTTCTTTAGTGTTGCTTGTCTTCAAGTTTTATTTTAAAAGAACTTACTACCTTACAAATCTGAAGTATTAAAATTTGCTACTTCTTAAAAAAATTAAATGTTAAAAAATACTGTGCAAAATAAATGGCAATTTGATGCTTTTATTTAATATTCATATTGATACTCGTATGTATTGATATTGATCTTCAACATTCCTAATTTTATTTCCCTAGTTATCTATAGTTTGCATTTTTTTCCCTTTTATTCTCTGCAAATTAAAAAAAAACAGGGAATGTTACTAAAAGCAGCATTTAATCCAGAAGGAGGCATGCTTGATCTTTCAGTCACTAGTTAGTGTGCTGTCAAAAATAAAGTGTGCCATATAAAATTCGGAATTATTTTTATTTATAAATTATTAATTATACTAAGATAAAACATACAAAATTATATAATCTTAAAAACTCTTAAAACTGCTTGTAATTCTGTCTTACTTTTTTCTCTCTATTTCAAAGTTTTTGTGATTTAACATACAAAGATTTATTTTCAAGATTATTGTTAAGATTAATTTTCTTTAAATAAAGATTTTTTTCTTTTACTTTTTATGCTAGTCTGTTGACTTTTTATTACTCCATTAAGCTTGAAATTTAAAAGATTACATGAAAAATCAATTGGCCGTGAACTTATGATGTACAGATCATCAAATTGGGCATTTAAAAACAGTCAACTGTTGATTAGTAGCATTTTGCAATGCTATTAATGATGCTTTTATTTATATATTTTATTGCTCTTTGTACCATTTGTAGATTATGACATGGTAGTAGGGGAGCTGAATGCCATAACCTTCAATTGAGGTATGAATCCCTGAGAAAGCATCAATAATTGTCAATGTATAATGCCTTTGTAACTAGAGAACACTTAAAATGCTATGAGCCAGAAATTCTGGAGAGGCTGAAGGAAGAAACCACCTCTCCAGGACTTCTGGAGAAAAAGTTTTTACTTCTGAAATAGGTTGGTGGAAGGAGAAAAGGAATATGAGACCCCTTGTTCCATTCTTCAAAACTGTAATGGATCTGGGCAAATTTGTACTGTCACCCATAAGGTGCCCAAAGCCTAAACCAATAGCAAGCATAATATAGTACAAAGTCCGAAATCTGGATATTCATTATCCGGAATGATCCAAAATCTGGACCTCAAAACCACCAACAAGGTTTTCCCCTTGTTTCTCATTTATGCATGCGCATTTGATTCTCCCCTCCGTGCATAAAAAAAATCTGGTGAGTCCCGATTCATAATTTCACTTTGAAACTAAATAAAATACCTTATTATTGAAGGGGAAAAAAATCATTTTAGCATAAATTTGTACCATCAGTAATTTGGCTCCATTGCTGCATATCTGCTTGGCACACATCTCAAACTGAAACATTCCACATAGATACATCGTTGATCTGATGCCAACCTGGGGAATCATTATTTATTATACTTTCTTTTATCACTGCATGTTTATCAAAACATGACAACTTGAGTAACGACTCATGTAGCAATGCCGAAAAAAAATTTTATTGTTAGTAATTAAAAAATAAAGGAGTATGGTACCTTTTATGTTGACATTTTGCTTGGTGATGATTACAGATTTAAGTTAAATGTGTTAAAAATGTTGCATGTGCAAGAAATAGACATAAGTATAATAAATAACTAAACTTAATTGTTTCAGTGCGCGATAGAAGTAAGATGAAATTTAACGGAACAACTTGTCATTAGTCGCCAAGCTCATGATGCATAGCCAAATATGTATAGTGAAGGACAGCTAAATTTCATGATGATAGCTGCTAATTTGAAAGGTTTTCGGATATAAAAAAACAAAGGTGAAATTTAAATTAATTATTAACGGATTTCGTAAAGAAATGTGGAGAAGCGGTAATAAATGAAGATGATAAAAGAAGGTTTTTCATTGTGGTGACAATGCTTCTTAATCATCAATCAATTAACGAATGGCAAAATTTGTAGGTTGAATGGTTCTAGATCCAGAAAATACGGCTACCGATAGTGAAGATAGTGTTACTTTCTTAACAGAGGAGTTACCGAAAATGAGAAAATTTCGATTGACAAATTAGTCAGAATTCTTGAAACAGCAGTTACAAGACTTCAACAATGTAACTAAAAACGAGATTATGTCTGTCTACAGAGTTAAAGAGAAAATGTTAGCACAAAAAATGAAGCAACTTAAATAACTTACAATGAAAGAAATGTTTAATAATGTAAACAAATAAATATTAAGCTTTTGTTTTGTAAATTTTGATACCTTTTAGATCATAAATACTTCATTATTTCATAAATCAAGATTTCATATTTTTAATTTTATAATTTCTACATGCATCTTACTAGACTTAAACTGATGATCTGTAATCCGGAAAAATCCCAAATCCAGAATCGCAGAAGTCCTGACAAGTCCGAATTTCGGACTTTGTACTGTATTTGCACTCTTGGTCATAATGAGTTTGCGGGTTTGATGGGATGTTACTGTCAGATAAGTCACAACAATGTACAATGAAAGTTGTTTTTAATCCTGTAATAGTATGTGCCTTCATTCTAGAATTTCTAAATTTTTAAACATAAATTATACTTTGGATGAAAAATTCTTTGATGTTTTTGAATAAACTTAGTTTAACAGTATTCTTGATTTAATTATTCTTCAAAGTGTACAAAACTGTTGTTTTACTGCGCTATTTATGAATAGAAATTGATAAGAATTTTCTTCTTCAATTTAATCATAATGTTATATAAATCATTAGTTTCCAAAGCCACGTGTAGCTTTCAGAAAGGTTTAGCAAAGCAAGTTTTGTTCTTCCAAGAGAAGAACATGATCAGTTGGAAGCTGTTTAATTCATATCACGGTGTTTTGTTGCTGCAAAGGACTTTAACAGATTATATAAATCATAATTCAGAATTTAAATTTTGAAGTCTCGACTGTTGAAGAAATTTCTGCTGAACATTTTGAGAAAAGTCATCCATTTCTGGAAGTGATAATAGAGTTGTGAAATATTTATAAGTCGTCATTGCTAAAGTAAGTAAGACATCATAACATGTGACAAACTACTGGATGACTGTTGTCTTGGAATAAGACTGTTTTCTGCATACTTGTTACAATAGGAATGACCATTGCTATAAATTAAATAATATAGTACCAGTAAAATGTAAACAAAAAGCGAAGCTTTATTAAAATTCTTTTTAATTCATAACTGAAGTATCTGCAAGTCTGCCTTTTCCATAATTTGCAAAGTGAACAAGAAATAAGCATTTCTTTTTTAGGTGTTTCCATCAGTTTTTCACAGTTAGCTTTGGAGCTAAACCGATCAAAGTCCATTCTAGGAAAGAGGTCTAGTAGGGGTGTTTAGGATTGTCAGTCTTTTTCATGTCTTCAAAAAAAGTCATAATTACAATTTTTGCTGAATTTTGCTTTGTTATATTTTCTTCAATAATTTTGTAAACCTGAGCGTCTAATACTTTTTTACTACTAGTTTTTTTCTTTAATTACAGATATTGTATATGTCAAGATAATTGTAATTGCTATAACAGACTGTTATTGTGGAAATTGTTATTATGTTAAACCAGATGTACGGGTTGTTTAGTTCTTGAGATTTGAAGACTAATGTTATTCTGTCTTCCTGTTTTGTGTATCTGATAGTAAGCAAAAATAAATGTGCTTTTCTGTTAACAGGGCACCAGTCACCAAATGTGGGAGTCTGTCTATATATATATATATATATAATATACATATATCACGTCAGGAACAGCTGTGTAGTTAAAATATATACAGTATTCCATGAAAAGATGTTCTAGTTATAAATTTTAATAGTATCAACTGTAAACATTGTATAGTTCAAGGTATCATTTAAGAAGTAACTCAAACAGTTTAAGATAACCACATGTGCGAGTACTGATTTCTTGTTTTCTTGCTTGCAGCACCGTATATAAGCAATATGGCGACTCCTGAGCATAAAGCATTTTGTGTTCTGTAATTTTCTAAGATTAAACCTGTATTTTCAGTTCAACATACATTTCATTTAACGTTTAATTGTGGTCTCCCACGTGGCAAAAACATCCACCGATGGCATAGGCAATTCGAAATGAGTGGATATGTTTGTAAAGTTTTCCCTTTAAAAATAATCAAAAGTGTCTGTAGAGGATGTGGACCATATCATTAAACTATCATAAATTAAACTATTGTAATGTACCATTGAAACTGGGACATGCTTTTATGTATAATGTATAATGTTAGTGCACAATATTGAAAATGTGTATGCTGCTGAATTTTTGGAATTCTCTGATGCAATTTTTTTAACAAAAACAGATCGCTGTATATGTATATCATATATTCGACAGTTTCAACAAATTGAAGAACAACAGTTTCATTTTCTGTATGTACACAACTATCTGTTTTCATTAAAAAAAAAAATATCAGAAACTTGCACAAATTCAGCCTTCTGTACAGCCATGTCATTGTACACATTGACATTATATATGCTATATTCATTATATATAAAATAGTTATTCTTTTCATGCAGCTGTATGCATCATTCGATTTGCCACTATCTAATTAGATTTTATGGCAGCATTCATGTTTGGTGTAAATGGCATCTACTTAGCATGCATATATCCATATGTAGCATATGCAAAAGCTACTTATACATCTGTGTATATTTGCTCACTGCAAATGAGAGTATCTAAAATTTTATATCTGTGTGTGATTATGTAATGTTATTTTATTAATTAATTTTTTTTATGCTTGTTATAGAACTGTCAAATTTGAAAAATTTAACTGGGGATTCTGATCCAGAAGAAAGCGATGGAGATTATTCGTGTGATGATAATGATTCTGAAGATGATAAAGTGATAAATAATGGCAAAACTCCTGGAAAGAAAAACAACAAAGATATGGTTAGTATATGATTTAATTGAAAATGAAAAACATTTACATGGTAGAAGTATATTTTAAAATTTCCTTATAGAAAATATGGAGATTTGATATGAATGAAAGGTAAAAGAAATAAATAAAACTTGAAAAAAATGGGAAATTGTTGCTTAGTTAAAATTCATGATTTAAATTCACTAAATTTCCATTCCATTTTTCTTTATTTTGCATGGAATTTTAAACTTCATTGAACAGTTACTGTTATGACATAATAAATTACTGCTATGACATATTTTATGTAACTAGCTAAAAATCTCCTCATATAAAGATTTTGGGTAAGACTGAGTTAACATATTTTTTCGTTTAAAAAAGCAGCTTATTATTATTATTATTATTATTATTACTTTTTAAATCAGACTATGATGTTTGGCTGCATCTTTCATTCAGTACAATGTCTTCTCAAAATTTTATGTCTGTGTTTTATAACAACTCAGAGCCATACCTGGGTATTTTTTCACCTGGGGCAAAGAGGTAAATATGCAATTGTATGTGCAGTTAAATCAATTATATATCTATAATTTTATATTCAACAAAGTTCTTCTTCATTAGCTCGACAACCCAGGTTGGGCTCTGGCCTTCTCCAAACATCTCTGGTTTTGGAACTGTTGTCCAGTTTTTAACCTTTAGAATGTTTAGATTATTTTCAGCGCAATTGATCCACTTCACCGGGGGTCTACACCAAGGTCTGGTTTCCATGGGCTTTGCCAGGAAGATTTTCTTGCAACACCAATCTTCATGCATTCTGGCCAGATGACCAGCCCCTTTAAGTCTCTATAGTTTGAGAAATTTTACTACATCAGGTTGTCATTCAACAAAGTTAGCTATACTAAATTATGCCATAATTTTTATAATATTTGTAATCCTAACTTTATGTACTTAAAAAACTAATACTTATAATAATTTATAATTTTTAAATCAAAGCATTAAAAAGTACCTTTTTTGAATGTATAGCTAATAACACTGAAATAATGTAAATGTATTTCATTAATGTTTGTAGGATTTTACTTGTGTAGAAGCTTAAACTGATGTCCTACACACCTTACTAGACTGACAAGCCAGTTATTTGCTTCAGTCTGAATGCAGATGACAAGATCCTGCAAAGATTAAAATAACCTGTTTGTTAAATGTTTGAATTAAACAGTAGGAACACTTGTGTATACAAACAAAACTTCGCCACTTTGGGTATTTAAAATAACATATGAAATTCAGCTTCAAATATGGTATTCATTACCATGCAAAATGATCTACTTCAACCTGGCTCATACATTTTAAACGGGCATATTTTTTACATTGGCTGGCAAAATGAACTGATGTTGAAATGTAAACTATAGTAGAAGCTGCCGAAAGCTCTATTACTGAAACATTCAAAATCCTCAACTTAAATACTCTAACTGAATTTTCATTCTTGGGAGGACTATGGAAAGAAGAAGTTACTGTAAAAGGTTTAAATAATAATAATTGGTTAATTAACATAAAATCCGAATATTATTTAATTTTTATGTTCTGTAGGAAAAATAAGGATATTTGAAAGTTTTTTAAGCCAAAAGAAAATTTCCCATTTTTTTTTTATCATTATTATTTTAAGTTGTCAAGCTTCCCTAATAATAGTAACTGCCAATGTTAAAAATATTTTTAACACAGTTTTTGAATTCATATGATTCAACTAAACTGTGGTCCTGAATTATCTATTAAAGATCTGATTTTGATTTAGAGATCATAATTATTGAAATAGTGTAGTTCCTAAAATTAGGTATTTCTGATGGAATATCTGGGACATTTATATCATTTGGATATTTAAGTGCTAAATTAGAAGCTGTTCTTTTTAAAATACCTTAGTGTCCCTCTCCTTAGGCAGATAGTCCTTGTGCACTTTGCCAAATTCAGCATGACCTTAAAATGCCTTCGCTAACCAATTGAGATGTAATATGTAGCAAAGTATAAGAAACTCATGCTGAGATTTCAGCAAGATAATCTTGGTTGATTAGCGATTCAATATTAGAGGTCACTATAATAAGGAAGTACCAAAGTTTTTGATTGGAAGGGTATATGTACCTTTCGTTTTCTTGCAGTATTAAATTCCGCAAAGCTATATATAAAATTTTAAGCTTATTTACTTAAAAAGGCTGTTAGGTTTGACCAGTGTAATGATTTATCATTTGATACCTCAGATAAATTTGAACCTCATATAAATAAGAAGTATTAAGTAAAAAATTATATAAAATTTGTGATAATGACATTTTTGTCCTACTTTGAATATTAAATTGTTAGTGATTAATTAAGTCTGGGATTTTATTTGGTTAATTCATTAAAGAAAAATACACATGTTGCACAAGTGTTCAAGAGTACAGTAACGTTTTGATTTAAATTTGTTATTTTAAAATGGCGCTACTTGATATGGTTCATAATAGAAAGTTAAATATCATAATTTACTTTTTAAATGTATATCTAAAATTTTGCGAACATCTCTCCTATTCATTCATCCGAGGCAATTGTCTCACCCGTCTCAGCTCTTTAATAACCTTATTATCAAATACATTGCTTTATTCAATAATGCTATGCATTGTATAACACAGTTCCAACGATTGTTTACTCAATTGTTGTACAAAATTGAAGAAGATGCAGCTGTTTATCCTTACAAAAATGTTGTTTGTTTTGCTGAGTACTTGAAATAGTTGATACAGAGAATTGGGGTACCATAATGAGAGATGATCAGGAATGTATAAAGACTAAATCATAAGAAAAATGTAAGCGATATTAATAGTGCTTGTCTGATGATCACTTAGTAAACCAAAGTACTATTTCTCTGAAAGATTGAAAATTTATCCTTGAAGACTTAGCTGCACCCAACATATGAAAAGTTATAACCAACCCAAACTATAGATTTTCCATATTCTTGGATTACAAGAAAACAGGGGAACTGCACAGAAGAAAATTAGAAAAATGCTGCCCTCTTGGTATGGTGATACGTAAACTGACTATCATTGTCTTGGTCCCAAGTTCAGATCCAGGAAAAGGCATGCATATTTTTAAGTGTAGTGTCTTTGCTGCATACAAATATTTAAAATACTATCAAGCCAAAAGTCTTCTTGAGAGGTCTGTGGTTGGACAGATTTTTGCATCCATCCCGTAGAGTTTCTGAATTAAAACTGGAATAGAGCTGCTCATTCTGTCAACTGAAAGTATCTAACAGCTAGTCCAATGATGCATCTTACTTTTTGGATACAATAAAATCAGTGGATCTTATCTGGCTGAAATTCAGTTCATGATGATTAGAAATAACGCAACAAAAACATCTAATCCATATGGATAATAAAGGTTTACTGTATTTTAGAAATATGAAAAAAAAAAAAAAAAAAAAAACTCCTAGATATTAATTCTGTGTGATTAAATGATGTTATAAACTTTATTATTTGCATTTTTCTTGTAATTTTTATCTATTTCATATCCATTATATGATAATTTTATTTACGTTATTTTTTAGTATATTTTTATGCATGTATGGTAAAAGAATTTCAGAAAAAAGCAATGCGTTTCCATGCATAAATTATTAAATATATTTATTTTTTCATCTTCAGTGTGCATTTGCAGAATCCTATTTTTTTGCTCAAAAGCAGTCAAAATCTACTAACATGACATCCAACAGAACTTTGTCAAAAGTTAAACTAGAACAAATGAATATTAAAGAACTATCTGAAATTTGTAAAAATGCTCCAGAATATCACCAAGAAGAAAAAGAACTTTTATTTAAAGAATATACAGTTTTGTTTCCAAAATGGGAATTTCTATTACAGTAAGTATTTAAAACATGAATATATGTATTATTTAGTGATACATATTTTGCAATGTATCATTGTTTTTTAGTATTAAGATGAATCTTATCTTTATGATAAACACATAATTAACTAATTACATAACATACATATATAACAAAGTTAGCAGATTCGTTTGTTAAATTTTGCTCTTGCAAAGTGGTCAGTTTATGTTGAATATCTGCTGTGAATTGCAATTGGAAATATTATTAAAAGAGCTGGTAAAAAATGTTAGCCATTGGAGAAAATTATTTAACTGCTGTTTATTTCCAGCATAAACGAAGACTAAAAAATGTTTGAGAAATAATTGCCTAAACCAGTGTTTGTACAGTCCTTGAGAGTGCTTAGTCCTTAGGTTTTTCAAAATTGATTTGTGGTCCTTAAAATTCCTTAATTTCAGCCAAAATCAACAGAAGGTCCTTAATTTTAATCATCTGAAATTTCTGCCCCCCTCCCTTTTTTTTTAATTTGCTCAAAACTTTCATTTTGAGCATGAGTTAGAATTTTGAAGGAATATTTTTGGCGATTTACTGACACATATGGCTATCTTTTCAATGGGTTTCAATTTTTGTTGCTTGGTGTGTCACTAAATTCTAAAAATTCTGACACACCCAGCTCTGTAAATGGCTCTTAACATATATCATTTCATATTTATTCTGAATGTTCATACTATTAAGAAATTAAATTAGCAGATTTTTCTATACAAAATGCATTTAGTTTTTTAGAATAACAGAAAATTTTAATCAAATCCCAAAATTCTGAAATGAGGAAGAAGTGTATTGAAGAAAGAAACTGAATACATAAAGAAAATGAAAATTATTCTTCAAAGATATGTGCAGTTATTATTATGTAAATTAACCAGTTGTTTATAATTTCAGGTTTACTATAACTTCCCCTTTCTGTTTCCTTACCAGAATGCAAATCAGTTAGCTAGTTTTTAAACTGAGATTATTGGATTATAAGACAAAGTGTTTTTGGCCTCTGTTTGCACGCTGTATTAGTTCCTGCGAGCTCGGATAATTTTTAATTATTTGTCTTTGCGTTATTGTTGCCGACATTTTAATTTGTTATGACAATAGAGTTACTGTATCAGCTTAAATTAAAATTAAATTTTGAGGTCTTTGACTACTATCTTAGTTCTCTTTAAATAAAAGATTTATTTAAATCTTTATCTAACTTAGTTATTTTCAGGCATAGCAATAATTTGCTTCATGTCTGTCAGAGGTTTTGGACTATTTAACTTTTACCAGATCAGGTAAAACCTCAGAGGTACATAGTCAAGAGATTGACAAAACATGCAGAAACTAGTGGTAATGTTGGTTTGCATATGAAAACAAATTTCTGATCATTAGAAACGATGCTATAAGAAATGGAAATTGATATATATTAGCCAAAATGTTTGGAAAGGCTTCAAATTAAAAAGATACGCAATATTTTGTTGCCTGTTGTTGCTGCAAAACATAAATGTTTTATGCTGTTAATATGTATATCCTAATATTATTTAAGAATCAATGTCATAAATTACATGTATTTAAACTGTGAACTGTTATTAAATGATGATTTTAATAGTGCTTTTTCAAGAAATATGTATTTTTTAAATAAATAAAACTTAATAGTAGCTATGTAGCTGTAATGCTATAGTGACTAAGGTAGCTATAATGACTATAATGACTAAGGTTATCTAACTACCTAATTTAATTATTTGTAACTAACTGCTCACCCTTGAATGTTATCTCTGCATATTAAAGCCAGTTATTACTTTTCATTAATCCTTACCCTTACCGTGGTCAGAAGATATAACACAAAAGTGTAAAAATCAATATGAAACTTATTCTTTGCATCTAGTAAGACTTAACCCTTAGCTCTCCGCACATTTTTGTACTACTGCCTACCAGCAAGTCCGGCACATTTTCACAGCGGAATGCAGCATCCAGAATATCTGCATAAATCTCTTTCTTGTAAATATTTTACTAAAGAAAGGAATGTGACTATTCTCCTTAACTGACAAATAATCCTGCATATTCACCAGGGGTATCGTACCCATATTGATAATAACTCCAATAAAAGCCCAAAACTCATCCTCTTCCACCACACGCGACATTTTCCAAATAGAATTACTAGTTGTTTCTTTATTCTTTAGAACATTTTCTGCGTAATTGTTGGTTTATTTTATAATTTCATTTACCAGTTCATTTGTGAAAAATAATTTGAAATATTATGTCGGCTGTACAATATTTGTAGGAATTTGTGGTCCAATGACCTTTGGTAATACACTATAAGGTATTCTATCTGGAGTATTTAATTCTTCCATTACATCGCGCCATTCATCTAAGTCTTCCAGTGACTCTTCGCTTTCACTTTCAATAACTACCATTCGTCGTCTCTTTGGTAGTATAAGTGTCAGAATTATAATCAACAAATGTCTTCCACAATATCTTCTAACAATGAAAAATCAAACACATCTTCACTCTCACTCAACTCTATATTCTCATCACAATAATTATTTTTCTCCATGTTGCTAACCATAAAATGGGTCAAATAATGTTTTAATCGTAACAGTAGTGAGACTGAGCACGTTTTAACTACAGATAACAATTGCCAACGCCGACGATTCCATAACATCTTAAGCCTAATCATGCTAAAAACATTGGGCTCCGCAGCGGAGCCTATGGAGTTACGGAACAAAACAGAGTGCTAAGGGTTAAAATAATCCAAAACAACTTATCACCTCTGGTGCTTTAGTGGCATTTTGAAACGTTAAACCTCTGGCTGCTCAATTTGTAGACCGAAATCACTTAAAAAAATTGTGGAATTTTTTTTGTCCTATATTTTAAATCTATATATATTGGAGAATTGAAAAATGCATTTTTTCTTTCTACAAAGTATTTTTTATGTAGATTTCTATCATGAGAAACTAAGTTGCCAGAAAAACCAATTTCAGATGTTATCACCAAAAAAAATTTTTTTAAATAAATTTCAGTCGAATTACAGTTAATTTCTATTTATTGCATAATATAAAAAAGTAAAACATATAAAATTAAGAAAATATAAAGCACCGAGGAAAAAATACCTTAGAAATGCAGTTTAGTATGATAGTGTTCAAAACAGGGTTCAAGGCAAAGTCCAACTTCACAGTCTTTGCACCAGATTCAATAAATCTAATTATTAATTTAATCATTAAATCTAATTAATAATTCAATAATTTTGTTAAATAATCGCTGAATGTTTTCTAGCAGCCATTTCTGTAAGAAAAAAGTGGAGTTTCAGTGGTAATACCACATGCCTTCAAATGCCGCAATTTAGTGGACAACAAACAATATCTGTTGGCCAAAACGTAAACTAAATGTCTAATACTGTATATAATTTTCAGTGGTTAAATGGGGAAGAAACGGGATGTGCTCCTCAATAAAGGAAAAAAACTCATGCCCGCGAGATGAGCAGATTTTGCTACATTTGAGTTGCCCGTGGAAATTGCGGGATGAGCAGCCAGAGGGTTAATGTATGTTAACTGGGTTACAACTCTGCACAAAGATACAACACTAACTGCACAGACAGAGCATAACTAATTTTCAAAACTTGCAAACCGTCCCTACAGGCTTTCAGATTTGCTCTGATTAGCAGGTCTCTCTCTAGATAAGCAATAACCAGTCTTCTATCATAATTGTTCTGATTATGATTTGACTTTTTATTTTAACCTTTGTTGGTTAACATAAAATGTACCTGCTGTTTACTAAAACTCTAAATTGAGCAAGTACATGACAAAATGAAAAAAAAAAGAAAAATCAACATAAAGCTAACTGTTAGTAAAACGTAAATAAACTATTGCTAATCTTCTTTCAAATATGTCCAACTATTATAAGTGTAAAATATTTAATGCTACTTGATAAATTTTATAAATTTGATTTTATATTCAAATTTTTTTTATAATTATGCTTATTAAATTATGTTTCATAACAATGCATCCTACCTAGTATTTAATTCTTAGGATGTTATTACAAAAGTGAAGTTCATTCATAGATAATACCTTTACTTGAATTTATTCAGTTCCCATTTGCTGATTTTTTCCTTAATTTCCTTAATTTTTTCATTAATTGTCCCTAAAAGTATTTAATTTCCATGTGCAGAAATGTGTGTATGGACCCTGAAAACTTTATCTGTAATCTGTATTAATATTTCATTTCAAATTAATACTTATCTATATATACGTATTAATTTATATACATATATATATATGTATATAAATTAATACGTATGTAATATAATATGTATAGGTAATAAGTACTTATAATAATACCCTAATAGAATGTACCCTTGTTTATGAATAAGAAAATTTCCCCTTATAGAAAATGCTTGAAATGGCCACTAGTGATGTTGATATAACCGTTGGTGGTGTCTGCACATGCTCATCTCTCGCATGCTCTGCCCCTAATTCTTTGTTGTGTTATTACATTTAAGTGAATGAGAGGTTTAAATATGTTTAGTGACCAATTGAATGTAACACAAAATGGGGATGATAACACAGTGCAGTTCATTGTCAAGTGTTATGCAAAGCACAATTCGTGGAAAACTTGTGCAGAACTGTTTGCACAAGAGTTTAAGAATGGAAATGCTTTGGCAAAACTTCCAGCAAAGTCTTAATTATGCAAAACTTAGTGGTAAAAGGGTGCGAAACGTGCTCTGAAGTAAATAAAAATTGTAACTATCTAAAAAAAAAAAAGCTCGAACACCAGAAAAACATTAATTGAGAGAAGGAAAGCCTGGAACAAAGTCTAACAACATTGCAGTGCCGTTTATCTGCACAAGTAGGGATTGAGATAGTCATGTCAAAATATCAAAAGAGCTCTGTGTCTGTATCCTTACAAATTTACAGTTGTGCAGGAGTTAAAGTCTCCAGGCGAATTCCACATGTTGAGTCCTGCCTGCGATTTCTGAGTAAAATGGAATCAGATGTTTCGGATCCTCATTTTTTCATTTCTTTGGATGAGGCTTAATTCATCCCGTCAGGGTATGTAAACTCACATAACATGTGCTATTATGCATCAGAAAATCCCCATCAGTATTTTGAAGAGCCATTGCATAATCTCAAACTTGGTATTTGATGCACAATATCTGAATTCCACATCATAACACGATTATTTCAGCAAAGCATGTGATTGGACAAGGTTAACCACTTGCAAAGACATAATGTGGATATTTTCAAGTGACGCGGAATCAGGTTTGGATCCTCATTTTTTCATTTCTTTGGATGAGGCTTAATTCATCCGGTCAGGGTATGTAAACTCACATAACATGTGCTCAGTATTTTGAAGAGCCATTGCATAATCTCAAGCTTGGTATTTGATGCACAATGTCTGAATTCCACATCATAACACGATAATTTCAGCAAAGCATGTGATTGGACAAGAGTTAACCACATTGCAAGAGACATAATGTGGATTAGTTTTCAAGTGACGCAATTTTATATGTGATAATTTATTTAGTTGTAGATAAAGGCTCAGAGGGCAATAGAGAGATGTAGCTTGCATACAAATAAGATATGTCTTAGAAGATAGCTTGAAATTGTTACATAGTAGATGGAATAACAGAATTAGCTTGATAATAAAAGCATCATTTTTATTTCTGGAAAATGAATTTTGTAACATATATCTTCTTAATTCGTACAACATTAAGGGTGCTATAAGTGCCCTATAATTTTATATACTCAAATCACACTGTTGCAACTGTTGAAGATGGCAAGTAAGTTAATTATGTGCTCGTAAAGTGACAACAGGGGAGAAATTTATCTGTATTATGCAGCTGGAGTATTTATAGTTCAGAAATTCTTTGTTTCAATCCTGATTGGGCAAGAGCTTTCGTAATGCAGAATACTACAGAAAAAAGATGACGTCAGTGCAGCTGCTTTGAAGGGGCTGTATTTAAATTGAAATTAGAAATTAAAAGCTCTATTGGCAATTAAATTAATAATTTTGTTAGTGATTGTGTTTCACATATTCTATTAGTTTATTCTATCACATATACTATATATTTACTATTAGTTTTTATAAAACTCTGGTTTTAAAGTAATATATTTGTTATCCTCTTATAGAGAGTCTTTCAACATTTTACTTTATGGTGTTGGCTCAAAGCAGAAAATTTTGAATGCTTTCAGCGAAAAATATTTGGAAGATAATTTGTATATTGTTGTTCATGGCTTCTTTCCTTCTTTAAATTTAAAGCAAGTAAGTTCTTATTGTCCTTTCATACTTTAATGCTTTTAAATAAAAATTCTAAAGTATGCTGTAATATATTTTCTCATAAATGAAAAAGTTCTCTTTAATACCGAAATGATTAAACAAGAGACTCTTATTTCATTAAAATTTATTAATGAAGGAAAAATTTATTAAAATGAAATTGGCAGCAGAAAAATAATAAGCAATATCTAAATCAACAACTACCAGAATCATACATAAAAATTTTAATAATGTGTTAATTGATCATAAGGAAACATTTTTAACTTAGTGAAGACTATTTGGCAAGTTTATTTCCAAACAAAAACTTAGGATGTCAGAGATCCTATAGGATCGCCTATAGGATCTCTGACATTGATCACAAATGATGAATGGGGGACCTTTGGAAGAGTGCTTTAATAGTTTTGATTCATAGTCTTCTCTATTATAAATTTCTGAAACTTCTAAACTATTATAGCATCAAATGTTTTTAAAGATTCCAATTTTTAGCACTGCAAATAAACTAATATTTTAATTATTAGATACATTCTGCTTTACGCACATACATTTTTTGCTCTAACTTTCAGTTACCATTGTGATATTGTTTTAAATAATGCCTCTGCGTCTTGATTTTCAAAAAGTATTTATGATCAGTTTCTGTATTCAATTACATTATAAAATAATTGCTAAAAACCTGGAAATCAGATAAATTATAGTAATATTTTTTAAATTGGCATATTTTACATTATAAAAATATTCATTAAAAATTTTTGTAATGTAAAATATCCTATAATTTAAGAAAGGTCCAGTTTTATGTATACAAAAATATAATACCATAATTTCATTTACAGATTTTATCATCAGTAACTGAAGATATCCTTGAGCATGATGGAAAATTTTCCACTGTTCAGGATCAGGCAGAATTTGTTAAAGAATATTTTTCAGGAAGTGAGTTTTAGCTTTTATTGGTATTTAATAATTCAGCATTTCGATATGTTTGAATGATCCAATTAAATAAAATTGCATTAAAATATACTTACTACCTTGATTTATATACTTTTATGAAAAAATTTTAATAATTTGTTTACATTTCGATTATCCTGGCTCATATTTTTTAATTGCTTATTATTTGGTGACAAAACAGCTTTAGTGACATTTTGGTAAACCTATCAAACTATTTAAAAGATGAATATAATTTCTGGTTCCATCCACAGTAAATTCTGTAAGCTGTACTTACTTGTTATTATTAATTAAATGCTTAATTGCTAAAGTGAAGAAAAAATAGTGAGTGCATTTAATGGCCTGGAAGATCAGAAGAAAAAGTGCAGATGTTTAGTACCTGAAGTTACTTAAAATATTATCAAATGTTTATTACTTTTTATAGACAAAAAAAAAATCTAGAGATAAGAATTATGAAAATTTAATGGAACTCTTTTGTTCACCAGGAAAACTGATGAGTACCATAATTTTACTAGATATGCATTTATATTTTTCTCTTTATGAATGTTGCATTTTTAATAATATTTTATGTATTTTTATACGTTTTAAATAGAGCTTTTAAATATTTTTAGGTAAGGAGCATTTGTATATTGTGATTCATAATATTGATGGAATTGCACTTCGAGCAGTTAAAACCCAAAGAGTCCTTTCTTCATTGGCATCGATTCCTAATATCCATTTTCTGTGCAGTATTGATCACATCAATAGTCCTTTAAGTAAGACTAACTAATTACTGTAAAACCTTGGTTCATGAATTTTATTCACTTCTAAAGGCAGTTCATCACCTGAAATATTCATAAATTAAAACAATTTTCCTCATAAGATTTAATATAAAATGAATTAATCCATTCCTGGATCCCAAATAATTGCTCAGAAAAGTGTAATTTGTATAAATACATAGTACAAAACTGATGTAATTCTTTAAATCTAATACACACAATATTTAACACATGGTATCTCTGTGAAGGAAAGCTGACATCGTAAGTAGAAAACGGTGAAGAAACGGAAGATGCAAAATGCTATTGTATGAAAAAGAAATTCTATTCCATAAAAGTATGAGATAGCTGCAGTCTCTAGGGTTTTTTATTATTATTATTATTATTATTATTATTATTATTATATCTTTCTTCCTGCTTTCTCTAACCTGTACTTCAAAATTGCTTCCCCCCCCCATCAAAAATTCGCTCAATGTGATTAACCAGCAACATTCACCCTTCCATCTTTTACTTTTAAAGGTATTTCCTCTACTTCATTTTGAATATCATTTGTTACCAGCTTACTTGTTCATATTTCAAGACATCATGTATCATACAAGACATTTTTTTTTTTTTTTTTTTTTTTTTTGTCATTTGGAAAATTTGTTCGTTATTAAAGTGTGGATGTTGAATTGATGAATGATGCATAATTAGTTGATAACTTAAATTAGCTATTTGATCTCAATTTTTTTTTGTATCTGTCTCCTTTTTATAAGAAATTTTATAACAAAGCCGAAAATTTTACAAAATATATGATATTTAGTTTTCAAATTTAATCTGAAATTAACATACCAAGTTATTTAAGAGCAGTAGGTGCAGTTCTTAATTATTAGCAGTAGGTGCAGTTATTATCTTTTTACTTTTTAAACTTTTTGTTTTAAATAAAAAAAGCATTTAATTTGTGATATATCTAATTAAAGCATTAAAAATTTTATAGATTTCTACTATTTTTTTTTTTTTCACTTTTCAAATAAACAGAAGATATAAAATGTTCCCATGTTATTCTAAATGTGTATTCATCTGATATCCTAAAAATGTTCACTATTCCATCTGAGCCATCTCTACTGATAAACTGTATTAAATTTTATGCCATTGTGGCCACATTAAAATTTAAACCTTTTTTTAATTTTTGATTATTATTAACTCCTTTCTTGATTATGCTTGGGTTATGTCATTTTACATGTTCTGTTTCTTCAAAGTTTCATCCATCTGTCCATAATATTACTTCATTGAAATGTTCGATTTGATCTTTTAATCTAAACTTAACTATAATTGGGGTTGCAAAAATTTTTATGATGAAAGTAATGGTCATGTATATATTTTTAAGTGTAATCTTTTTTTTTTTTGTGCTTAAAAAAATGCATGTCTATAAAAAAATGATAAAAAGTTTATTTTGTTTAAGAAAAATATTATTCACATTTAAAAGAGGGAGTCCTATTGTTAATGGCTCACCAGCAGCCGAGCGGTAAAGTCGCTGAACACTGGTAGTTCGGTCCGAGGTTCGAATCCCGCGAACGGGCTGGCTGCATGGGTGTTTTCGTGGTTTTCCCCATGTGTAACGTGTATACGAGCCAGTTTCCCTTAGAAAGTCCTCCACGAAGGCATCCCTCCTCTTAGGCAGATAGCCCTAGTGTGCTTTGCCATAATTAAATACACCACCACCACCACCTATTGTTAATGAGAACTTTTTGTAATCAAATGATTTTTAAATGATGTTTTGAATGATCTGTCACAATAAATGAGTGGCAATTATGAACTAAAAATTTGCTTATCCTTAATAGCAACAAGTCATTCAATATGATATTTTAAAATAAAGTAACAAAATGCATACATGCGGTAACATTTCATGCATTTTTAATGAAAATATTTTCAGTTGCATAGCATCATTGTATAATATTTTTCTTTTAGCAGCACATGCATAACTCAATTATTCATGAATATGTGCTTTTAAATATGATCACTTATACATTTACTTTTTTTTTCAGTCTGGGATCAGATTATGCTTAATAAGTTTAAGTGGATATGGTATGAAGTACCAACTTTTGAACCATATATTATAGAAACATCTTATGAAAGTTCATTTTTAAAAGATCAGTCTACCCATCTTCTTCTTAGTTCCTTGCTTCACGTGTATCGTAGTTTGACACCCAATGGGCAAGGTGTTTTTCTAATTCTTGCTCAACACCAGAGAAATGAGCAAAAAAACAACAGTTATTCAGGTAATCTGAACTTTACTTTTCTTTTATTAATTTTGAATTTGAAAGAATTTTCTTGCAGCAAAGCATTCAGAATAGTCTTGTATAAAATCAGAAATATTTTTCCAACATCAGAGATGTTGTTATTAAATCAATTTCACCCAAACCTTTAGTTAACAAAATTAAAAGCTTAAGAATTATTGTCTGTCTGAAAATTGATCCCTAAAAAAATAGTGGGGAGGAAACTACATATTTGGTTTTATTGCATATTAAATTATTTGAAAATTAAAAAAATTCAAACTTTAAAAATTAATTTCAATAATTATAAACTTTCTTTTAATACTTTTCTTTTTTACTCTTTTAATACTTTTTTATTCTTTTAATACTTTTAAGAGCAGTAGGTGCAGTTCTTAATTATTAGCAGTAGGTGCAGTTATTATCTTTTTACTTTTTAAACTGTTTGTTTTAAATAAAAAAGCATTTAATTTGTGATATATCTAATTAAAGCATTAAAAATTTTATAGATTTCTACTATTTTTTTTTTTCCACTTTTCAAATAAACAGAAGATATAAAATGTTCCCATGTTATTCTAAATGTGTATTCATCTGATATCCTAAAAATGTTCACTATTCCACCTGAGCCATCTCTACTGATAAACTGTATTAAATTTTATGCCATTGTGGCCACATTAAAATTTAAACCTTTTTTTAATTTTTGATTTTTTAATTATCCTTAATAATCATCTACTTATATATTTTATAGTATTTGATATCTCTTAAATTCAAAACAATAAATTGTTGAAGTACAAAAAATTGCTGAAGTTCGAAACAATAAATTGTTTATATTTATGTCCGGAAAAAGTGTATTGTTTTCACCTAGCACATAAATCCTATTCAGCAGATAAAATTTATATATGTTGTGTCTCAGAAACTGTCAGGCTAGAACAGACATCTAGAAGTAGCCTTTGGCAAATGTCATTGCATAAAACATCAGACTCTTAAATTATCTTCCAAGTGCCATCTCACATGAAAATTTTCAGTGTTCCGATATGATAGAGCATAAGATTTTTAATTTTTCTTTCAGATTTCTTCAGTTCTGTTATTAATAAACAAATTGAGTGGTTCAAAAGCAATAAATGCTTTTCTTACTAATTTAAATCTTTATGTTATTTTTTAGTGTTGTGTCAAATTAATATAAGTTAAAATGCATTTAGTTTATAATATACTCAAATAATTTTTTTAGTATAGTTTGATGTAATAATTTTTTTCAAATTTTTTTAATATTGAATTAACAAACTGGGTGATTCGAAAGCAATAAATGCTTTTCCTTCTAATTTAAATCTTTATTTTATTTAATATGTATGTATTTGATGTAAATTAAATATGTTTAGTTTATAGTTATATTCGAATTATTATTTTGAAATTTTAGCTTTATTGTTAATAAAAGATGTTTCGAACAATATATGTTACAAAATTGGTACACAAATTAATTTATTTCAAAAAAATGTTTATAATTTTTTTTTTTTTTTTTTTTTTTTGATTTTGGTTCAAAACTTTAAATATAATAAACTCTTCACAGATTTTGAACTGAAATTTTAAGAATCTTTTATTTATTTATTTATTGATAGCAAGTATATCTGTTCAGAAGGAGAATTTGGACTGGTTTTCATTTACATTGTGTATAATAAAAATTATTAATTTCCGTGTACTTAGTCATCCTATCAAAAATAGTTTCCTTAAAATAAGGCTTTTTTTGTTTGTCATAATTAAATATGTAGCCCAAAATGGATACACACGATCATTACAAAACCTTAAAGCCACAAACTATTAAAGTAGGTCTTTCAGCAATGAAATATCAATTAATTAGCAGACCTAATAGTACGCTGACAAGAAAGCAACCTTCAAATATTTAAGGCTGTTGTGAATACTAAAGAGCTAAATCAGATATCTGATCAAATTGTATGTGGAAAAAATTAATTTGTTGTATAGTTGCATTAGCTGGGGGTTATCTAATAAGGAGAGTCTTTTCTCAACTTTCACCAGCAGCTGAGTTTTAAAGTTGCCAAAGACTGGTAATTTGATCTAGATTCGATTCCAGGCAAACAAATTGGCTGCATAGGCATATCTGTGGTTTTCCTCATGTGTAACATGGATATGTGCCAGTTTCCCTTAGAAAGTCCTCTGTGAAGACATCCTTCCCCTTAGGCAGATAGATCTAGTGTGCTTTGACATAATCCAAACACAACAACAACAAAAAAAAAAAAAAAAAAAACTTTCGACCTTCAATATTAATGTTTTGTGACAAGAATGCGGTGATTCTTTTTATGCATAACATGTAATAATAAAATAGCTGCTACACTGCTGTAGGTAGAACAAAAATGTGAAATAATAAATGAATGAACAAGCCTTAATTTTATATGTATGTGTGCATTTATATGGATTTCATAATAATCATTATTTTACTTATTGATACCTGCATGTTTATTTTCACTCATGGTTTTCTCAAACAGTTAAAAAACAATTATGCAGAAAAATATGTTTTCTTTTTTTTTAATCATACTAATTTAAGTGATTTAGGTAATGAGAAATGCTAAACATAAGTGAATTTATAATAGAAATTCAATGAAATTTAATCATAAAATACATCATGCTAGTTATGAATTGAAGTTATAGCACAAATGAGAGGCAATAAAAAATGTTTTTCTTAAAACAGCAATATTTGCACTAATAGTATTTATTGAATTGAAATAAAGTATAAATCTTATAAATGTGAATAACTTCAGTTCGTGTATTAAGTACAAATTCAACTGCAGAAGCAGTTTGCTTTACATATGCATGTATAAAAATGAATAAGTAATCAATAACATAAGTAAAGCTTGATTTCATAACTGTAGTACATTGTAAATTTCAGAAAATGTAATTCTGGTACCTTCTGATTATCTGTGCCCTCTGAAAAGTCTCCAACTCCTTGAGGACTAATTTTTCATTAAACTAATATGCAAAAGGCAATACCATTTTCAAAGTGGTGATGCAGTAAAAATTCCATAAAAAAGCAATGAATCAATAGCATTAAATGTGTAGGAAGTATCCATAATAAAACAGTTTTTTTTTTTTTTTCCCCAAGAAATCCTTATATATATGTAATGTGGTTGAGTGTTGTTGCTCAGCACCATTAATGGAAACATTAGTAGCTTTTTTCTAATTTTAATGACAGAACATGTGAACATAATTAACACGAAGGTAATATAGAAAAATGAAAAGAAATAAGATGAAGGAATTAGTCCGTAGCCTATAGTTAAGTATAAACAGCTTATAGTTTTTTCAATTCGTCAAATTGCATCATTCAGGGTTCGTACGGTCCTTAAAAAGTCCTTAATTTTTTCAAAAGTGATTTTTGGTCCTTAAAAGTTCTTAATTTTGGCCAAAATGAATAAACGGTCCTTAATTTTGCTCATTTGACATTTCTTATCATTTCTAATGATTGCCATTCTAAGTGTGAATTACGATTTCTCATGAATATGGAATTAAAATTACACAGCTCTTAACTAATCTGTTGGCGGATTTGCATTGCAAACGATAAAAAAAAAAAAAAAAAAACAATTAGCTACCCGAACGAAAGTATCGGTGTCTGATTGGCTATTCACGCAATCTTTCGAAACAGGTGTTATCCATAAATTTAGGCAGACTGTGACGAAAGCGTGAAGCTGGAAGTTCTTTAAGAGGCGAAAGTGATGATGAAGGTGCTCGAGAAAAAAAAGGGAGGGGGGAGATTCTGAAAATATTTGCCAAAACTAGAGCAATTCCAACCTGGAAGGCCACAACCCTTCCGACGCCAATAGGAACGAGATGCCTGGAAAGTGCATTTTCAATAAACTGTGGCTTCATCAAGCTGACTACAAAGACTGGATATTGATGGATGGCAATCCTTAAATGTGGTCTTTGTCTGAAACAAATTGAAATTTCTAGAATGGGAGAGTCAGCACTGAAAATTCACACATTTAAAATTAAGTTTCGTTTTATCATTTCAATTTGTTTTTACACGGTTTTGCTTAGCTTAATTTCTGTGTTTGTTTCAATTAAGCCATAAATTAATTTTTTATCACCTTCTACGGAGTTTATTCTCTTTTGCACATACTATATGTATGGGATATCGGGATTATGAGTTTATTTCTGCAGAGGGTCTGTTATCGATTTCGCGGGAAATCTGTTGGCTCCATCATTTCGATTTTAGGTCGCCAAGGGCAAAATCAAAATCGCTAGCTCTAGCTGAGAAAAAGTGAAGTTCGGAAATACGTTTTGAAGCTTCAATAGACAATTAAGTATTTGGTTTAAACCTATGTTTTTGATAGTAATGCATAATTTTTGCTAATGGCGATACAATTATTAGTTGAAAATAACTAATTAAAATTTTTTAATATATTTTTAAAGCTGAAAACAACTAATTGAAACTAATTTTCCTGAATTAACTAGACGCAAAATTAACTTTCATGAATTACTAAAGTTATTGGGTAGAAGTTTAACTGAAAATATACATTCCGATATATATATATATATATATATATTTATACAGTGTACAAAGTCCGAGGTCTGGACTCGTCGGGACTTCGGCGATCCTGAGATTTTCCGGATATTAGATCATTTTAAATCTACTAAGATGGCACGTAGAAATTATAAAATTGAAAATATGAAATCGTGATTTATGAAATAATGAAGCATTTATGATTTAAAGGGTATCAAAATTTACCAAAGAAAAGAGCTTAATATATTTATATGTTTACTTTAATAAACATTTCTTTCAATGTGAGTTGTTTGATTTGTTTTCTCTGCTAATACTTTAGACTAATACTATAGACATATAATTTCTTGTTCAGTTATTAAGTTCCATTGTTCAAGTCCTGTAATTGCTGTGTCGAGAATTCCGAATAACTTGTCAATCAAAATTTTTTCTCGTTCAGTAACCTCTCTGTTACTTTCTTCACTATCGGTAGCTGTATTTTCTGGATTTAGAACCATACTACAGATTCCGCCCTCCGTTAATTGATTGATGATTGGGCATTGTCATTGCAATGAAAAACTTCTGTTTAACTTCGCTAAATTCTGCCGCCTGGTGCGGCCATGCGAGCTCTGGAGCTGGTTCTGGCTTTATGTGAATAACAAATCAGTTATTCTTAATTCAAATAGCACTAAATATAATCGTTTGTCCTATGAGTATCATTAACAAAATCTATTTTTAGCATAAGGAAAGAAATTTCTGCTAAATCTCCCCTTGTCAACATTTTAGCGCATTAAATTTAAATCTGTAATCGTATAATACTCTGTTATTTGGCATCGCTGCATGATTCATCACTCAAGTTGTCATTCGTTGATAAACATGCGGTGATGAAAGCAAAATACAATAAATAATGATTCGCGATTTCGGCATCAAGGATATAAAATAGGATATAAAATATTAGTTGGTGTAAAATTAACAAATGTTTCGGTTTGAGATTATGCCAAGCAGATACGCAGCTATGGAGTCAAGTTACTAATCACACAAATTTATGCTAAAATAATTATTTCTTCAATAATGAGATATTTTATTTAGCACCAAACTAAGATTAAGAATCGGATTTCGGCATTTTTTTTATGATGAGGAAAAAAGCGCAAAATAGCAATTATATTCAACACTTTATTTATGATTTATGATAATTATTTCAGATTAATAATCGATTCTGGTTTCATTTATTTTTTTATAAAAATTTATTTAATGATCAAATCTAATAATCGTTTGGCATTTGATGGGTGGCTTTAGAGGTCCAGATTAGATGTCATTCCAGATAGATGAGGTCCAGATCGGATATTATATATATATATATATATATATACATCTTTCAAAATATAACTTACCAGTATGGATTCACTCTTTTAAAATAATTCTACTTTAATTAAACTTAGGAGATAATATAATCAATTAATCTATATTGTTTAGGAAATAAATTATATATATATAGTAAAAAATGTATATTTTCACTATTCAAGTATTCACTGTGACAAGTATTCTTATCTTGTCACATGAACAGGCCTCTGTGGAAAGGGGCTTCTCTGTAAATAAAGCAATTGAATTTGAAAATTTAAGTGACTCATCATACATTTTTCAACGCACAGTATTTGATTACATAAAATTTTCTGGAGGTGTTCTTAATATCGAAATTAATAAAGAAATGAGATCAGCAGCAGCTTCTGCAAGAAGTGGAGTTCGTTATTTAGAAGTTCAGTATTTAGAAGAGTATTTAGAAGAACAAAAATCTTTAACTAAATCTGAAAATTCAAAGAGGAAAAGAAATATTATTGAAGAAGAAATTGATTATATGAAGCAGAAGAAAAACTTTCCTCAAAGGGACATTAAAGACATTAATGAAGAAGTAGATGCTTTAGCAGATAAAGCTGAGACCATCAGGAACATTGATTTGTTTATCAAAGCAAATGAACTTAGAAGAATAGTTAAAGAAAAGAATAGTTAAAGAAAAGGAAGATTTCAGATTTAAAAAAAGCACAAATGTTTTGTATCTTTTATTGTACAGTTTATTATTCTAAAGCTGCATCACCTCTTCTGTTTCTTGGATCACACTGCGGCTGCCTTTGCTTCCATCTCTCGTCTCAATGGCCAAATAGTCTGCATTCTGCCACACAGCTTGGAGAACCATCTAACTGTGGTTGAGGTTACAAATGTGCTTGTAGAAAAGAAGCTGATGGCCATATAATATTCATTGTTGTTCTCTGCATGTACACAGTAGTCTGTTTTCGTTTTAAAAAAAATATCTGAAAATTGTGCAAATATCGTATTGTGGATGTTTTTATTCTTTGCTTGTACACAGTGATAAATTTTTGCTTTTAGAAACATCAGAGAATTGAAAAAATTTCTATGCATAAAATTTGATCGTTTAAGAAGTACATCTTCATGGGATGCAAATTTTTGCATTTTTAAATTTTGGGCAGAATACCATATTTCTAAAGGAATGCAGTACTCTCTTTTTATCAGCCAGCAAACTGTACTCCAATAATACAGTTCCTTATGAGATAAAAGATATATGCTCAACTCAAGATTGATATCTGAAGGGAGAAACTCATGCTTTGGGAAAACGCATGTGCATACCTGGGTTGCCATTTAACCCGTAACAGGGGAGGTCAAATATTAAGACATAACCGGGAACGTGCGGTCACAGAGACTGCTTATCGTTATGGTTTAAATAAAATGTTCTAATCAAAATATTGAAATTTTATTTTACCCATACATTTTATAAATACTTATCTTCGAACAGGGTGGAAAAAAATTACAAAGAAATTAATTAACACTGTGAACATCGTTTCTGCAACATGAACATTTTTTTATGAAAAACCACTTGCAAATGTAAATTATGAAAAACAAACCAGAATAACTATACTTTTTATGAATAATAATTATTTTCCATTAATTTACCATATGATGGATATGTTCAGATGAGAAATATAAATATTGTACGAAACACAAAAAAATTACAATACCTTAACTATCAGTAATATCACTGTGTTCTTGCAAAAAATATCAATTTCTCAGCATATTCTTGTGCAAATTCGTGACATAATTTTTTTGTACATACCAAACAAACTGGCGTTTTGCAACTTAAGAAAAATACAAAGGTTTCAGTTCTTTCTTTTTCTCTAATATTTCGTTTGTAAAAAGGAGTTCCCAAATGCTTTTAGGATCCGCATTTTCACCCAATTTTCCATATGCTCATAATCCTGGAAGATGAACTCTATTATACATGGGAGTTCTCACATTTTGTTGAGGTTCAATAGATGACCACTTGAAGCGGTTTTTCCCATAATAATATTTTGTAGATGAAATAGCTTCAGTCTCTGGTTCAGTGATTCATTGTTAGATTCAGAAATTCTGATGTCATGGAATGCGAACTTTCAGTGCAAAATCTTCTTGGCATTCATCTTCATCACTAAATTCACTTTCAACTTCATCAAGAATTCTTTACAGCATTTCTGCATAACACGAATTAGAAGGATATATGATATTTCTCGGACTGAGTCTCAGAGTCATGTTTCTACCTGGGGCAGAAATCGTAACACTGAGAGGGAGGTGCGGTCTGACATACCACTCTCAGACAATGGAGCAGAATTTCACAATGAAGCAGGTGCAAAAAATGTTAGCCAATATGTGAGAATTATCAAGGTCACAAAAGGAGAAGCTAGCAGAAGAATCCACTCAATCAGACTAAATATAGAATAGGGATGATAGGAATAACACCTGTAGTGGTCTCTGAGACCGCACCTCCCCAGTTATGGGTTAAATACCTTTTGGCAAAGTCAGGGGTTGCCTATTTTGGAGTGCGTTGCCTTGTGAATGTTTTCAGGGGCTTGCGAATAATCAGAAAGAACTATAATTTTTTAAATCAGTAAAGTCACAACAAAGCAATACTCAAGTGTGCTAAGTCTTGAACAGAAAGTTTCTTTGGCAATTGAAATGTTATTGATAGTTCTGTGTTGTTTAATGTTAATTTTAGCGTATATTTTGTCTTTTAGATTGTGTTAAATCAGCTGTATTTGTTTCAAATGAATTAAATTTTAAAAACTGAAAATTATTCCTTATAAGCACTCTAGTTCTTTGTAAGTCACTAATTCCAAAATAGGTTATTATTAGGCATTTTTTCTCATTCTTCAGCAATTATATAACTGTTAAATACATGGTGACTCCTTATTATTTGGAAAGTGAAGTTATATAAGAGGTGGTTATAATTATTTTAAATCAAATGTAATGCTGTTATATTATCTCTTTAAATGTTCTTACTTCACTCCTTGATTATTTCTTTTACATTTAATAACAATCATATAAAAAATTGACATTGATTTTCAGGCATTACTTTTCATGAATGGTATCAAGAATGCAGAGAAGCTTTTCTAGCTAACAGTGAAATTACTATGCAAGCTCAAATATCAGAATTCAAAAATCACAAACTTTTGGCCTCTCGGAAAGTAAGTTTGTGTATTATTTTATAATTTTTCAACTGTTACTCTTAGTTTTGGATTATTATTTAATAAGCTGGATTTGCTAGAAAATTTATTAAGATTCATTCTGGAACTTGAAAATAGAAGTATACAGACGCTAAGAAGAATAGTACTTATTAACTATTGGCTGTAATTTTAATTTATACATAAATACATGCAAATTCATTAACTATTCTGTATAAAATACTTAAAAGTTTAATTCCCGATTAAAAAATTAAATCAGTTAATATATGAATGCAGTCTTTTCCTAAATGTAAAATCTGTAATGTCTTTTATTTCACACTTTGGTTGCATTTTTGTTTTATTTTTAAGACCATAGACATGTTCTAATTTTGTGAAACTTACAAATCTTGATGCACAGTAACAGATAGTTTTCATGCAGACATGGTATAGTTATCACTTAAAATTTTCTGTTCAGTGTTTATCTGAAGCTGAAAATTAAAGTTATTCATTTATTACTATTTTTTACATTGTAAATTTTTTCCCTGAAACCCAGTATTTGATTTTACTTTATACTGTTTCAAAAATGTTGTTTGATTTTGATTCATATTTTGTTTTTTGATTGTGAGAATTTAGTTTTCTGGTTTTATTACATGTTATCAGTAAAAGATAAATTTTAATTTATGTAAACGTAAATAAAAGTAAAATATAAAAAAATAAGTTTGCCAGTACTACAAAAATACTTATTCTCTATATTGACTTCTTAGTAAATAAGAAATTGTATAGAAAATAAATACTTTTCAAACAAAATTATTTCCATACATCCATTTGTTAAAAACGGGTAGTAAGCCAAAAAATAGATTTTCTCTTTCTAAAAATGTTTATGATTTTATGGTTTATTTATTTGCTAGTCAATGTTTTACTACCTTTGTTTTATTTTGTTGCATTTTTAATTCAGTATGTTATTATGTTTTTACTATAGAAATTAAAATACTATTAACTTACTTATTATATTTAATATTGATAAAATGCCCTTATTTATTATTTTAAAGAGAAAGCTTTTTGCTTGAAACATTGAATAATTGCATGTAATTATATCAGACAATAATATTACTGTAATTTGACTTCTAATCAAATTTATAGTATAAATGAATGTGTATATTAAATATATATATAGAGAGAGGGGGCATAAAAATATGCAGTCTTACTACATTAGTATAGATCTAAGTGAAGTTTATAAAAGGATTAATATTTTGTATGTTTATAGAGTCCTGATGGAGTTGAATTGTGGTATATTCCTGTAGAACAGAACACTTTAATACAGTTTTTGGAGAGCTGTGAATAAAGGTTGTACATAAATATTTCCTCTGTTTACGATTTACACCAGGTATGTGTTTCATTTTAATACAATCTTATAATGGCAATAAATGTTTTAATTGGTTCAAAATGATTGACACTACAATGCTTTTCTTTATATTAACTTTTTGTTGTTGTTAGGCTATTCAGATAGTGCTATGGGTGAAGATGACAGCCCTGGCAACCTGCAAAATGTTGTCATCATAGAAATTTGATCTCTTAAACGAGACCCCCTAATTTTTAGCAATTCAGCAAGGATATATTTATCTTTTAACAAAGTGAATATGTATTACATTGGGAGCATTTGCTGCCAAGCTAATATCTTATTATTTACCATTGCTTTGACAGTCTTCATATAACTGCTACAAGTCATGCTTTAAGGGTATTTCAGCACCACAGCTATTAAGTTTGTTGTTGAAACACTTCTTATTATGTCTTATATTTTCATTGCATTGAACATAATATAGCTGATTTATGCAAGGTCCAGCGAATATGGAATTGAGGCAATATGGTGTCCCATAAGCTGGCCACAATAGGGTGACTGACGTGGAGTCGAACATTATCATGTTACAAAATGCACATCATGCTTCCAATTGTTGTTATAACGTGCAGTATTAATCATTGTTGGTGTTATCATCAAGAAGTAGCCAATCAAATGACAATTTTTTTATTTTTATTTATTTATTTTTTTTTTTTATGATCCCAGAACACACTTGCATTTGCATCTACATAAGCATTGCCATAGCTTTTTGTGATGAGGTACTTAACAGCATGCTTCCACTGCATGCCTGGCATTTCTTCTTTAGTATCTACTGGCATTAATTCTTTAGTATCTTCTGGCATTAATTATTAGCAAAGAGTGTTTTCAAATCCATGCTATATAGCTTCAGCAAAAGTTGGCACGTACCTAACAGGTCACTGCTTTTGCTCTATAGTGGCAATAGGTACACTTGTAAAAAGATATTTGCCATCTTCAAGTCTTGATGAAGGATATGAAGGAACAGGCTGATCTTAATAGATTTACATCTTATCATCCATTTTGCAGTATGTGATTTACCTGTTTGCCATTATTAAGTTGGACTCGCACTGGATTCTATATCCAACAGATGCCTGGCAATTGTGTCAGCTACTTGTGCACAGTTGCTAGATATTTGTCTGTTTTACCTTTTGCAGTTGAGCCTTGCCATGTTTTAATTCTAATATCCAAAGTGCTGCAGTTTGTTGCAACATTCTTACATGCTGCTCTAATCACCACTGCTAGTGGACTGTAACTGCAAAATAACAAAGCTAATTTCTTTTGAAATTTATCTTTTATTTATCCGTAATGTAACCATTCAATTAGCTGCCTTTCAAAAGTGAAACAAACATCAATCTATCAAAACATTAACATCAAGAAAGAAAACTATTTTGGTGCATGCATGTTACAGGATTCATTGTTAGGCAATGCCAGAGAAGAAGAAAGTTTTCACTTAGCAGACTATCAGGTCCAACATCTTGCCCAATGTTGAAATACTAATTTCAAAACTAATATACATAATTTAAGACATTTAAGTTAGATATGTATTAGTTCTAAACAACTAAATGCAATATATCAATTGAACAAACAAGCAAAAGACTGAATTTTACAGTGGAAGAAACATGCAATATTAATACAAAAAATTATAATACAATTTCACTACTTCAATCATCCGTAGGCAGAATGTGTTATCCAAGTTTTATCAGTCTTGAAGGGTTTTGATAATAACAGCATGGATTTTACCATTGTTTCTAGGTATGGTATCGAAGTTGTGGCATACTATCCAAGTGCATAGAGGTAGTTTATCCTCTTTAACTAATATAAGAGAACTGAAAAGCAAGGCTCAGAGCATTAAGGGGTCTTCCAATTAAAAAATGACCAGGGGTCAAAGTTTCAAAGTCATTGGAATCTGAAGGTAAGAGGTGTGTGTATTTGGTGTATTTAATTATGGCAAAACACACGAGGGCTATCTGCCTAAGGGAAGGGATGCCTTCATGGAGGACTTTCTAAGGGAAACTGGCTCGTATACACGTTACACACGTCTGAAGGTAAGAGTAACGAAGGTCTACTGTTTAATATATTTTCGATTTTTATTTATGACAGTCAAAAATTCTTAGAGAGTTAAGTTTGCATTTAAATCAATGCCATTAACAGAAAAGGGAGTTGCACCAAAACTCTTTCTTTTGGTAATGGTGCAATAAGTTGTTGGGCAATTTTTGGTTAATTATATACTATTTTGGGGGTATTGTTTCTGCCATTAAATGGCCAAAATTCCTTTTGAACACAATGCAACAAAGTTTGAGCACCAACATGTAATTTTTTTAAATGAAAGTGTTGCATAATTAAAGTAGTTAATTTATAATCCCTGATCAGCAGGACTAGATGCTTTTTATCATAAGACAAAAGTGATTTATTTAATCTGCCACCCACCCTAAATGTTCTGTTTTCGTCAAGGAAAGGTTTTAAATTACTTAAGTGACTATCCTTTAGATTTTTACCACAACTAACTAAGGGCTTTTTACTAAGGGCTTGAATTTCTCTTTTAAATACTATTTCCTGTACTAGCTTTATGATGGACAGCTTGGCACATGTGAATTTATCTCTAGTAATAGGACCTAATGAATCTTACCTTATTGATAACTGGAAATAAACCTATGAATAAAACTAAGATGGTTCAGATAATCCATTGTCCTAGTTCAGTTTTAGAGACTATAGCTTTTGAAGGAATATTTTCTCTTTACAAATGACTGGTCCTATAAATCCAATAGGATCACACAGCTGGGCAATGACTTAAAAGACGTCTCTTTTCGTAAAAGATGATTTATCTTGGAAAGCAACTTTAAAAGTAAAGATGTCGGATTCCGGTTATGAAATTATGCCAAGAATTTTTGTAAATTCAGTAAAATCAAAGTGAAACTTTTTTTTTTTTTTTTTTTTTTTTTTTGTACTGAAAGTTCCAACATTCTTTTCCATTTATGTAAAGACATTCCACAACTTCTGAATATCTTTATGGGTTGATTCTTTAATTTAATGGCAGACTCAATATTAAGGACTCCCATTACTATATCGTCCATACAGACATCAGAAAGAGTCACTTCAGAAGCTAATGGACATTTCTGTTCTTCATCCAAAGCTAACTGTTTCAGTGTTATTATAGCCAGAAATAGAGCACATTTGGTACCATATGTAACAGTGTTTAGTCTGAAAAAGCTAGGTTAGTCTTCTTCATGCTCTTTCCATAAGATACATAGCAGATTCCTTTGCGATGAGTCAATTAAAATCTGTCTAAACGGTTGTTTATTGTCTGCAACTAATGCTATTTTGTGTTTAATAAATTGACCGATTAAAATCAAAAATGTCTTATTTAACTTCTCCTGATAGTAAAATATCGTTCAGACTTAAACCTGAAGTAATAATGGTTAATGCGTTAAACACAATGCGCAGTTTCATAGATGACTTTTCAGATTTGTAAATTTCTTGATGAAGTAACAGGTAGAGGATTTTCTTCTTCAAGTCTTTCCGTATGATTTAAGCTTTCATAATCCTTAATACAACCTGTTTAAAACCTTTCTAGGTTAGGGTTTTTATTTAACCTTTTATTCATTTGATTAAGACAAACGTCTTAATCAAACATTAGCTATGTTTCTCGAATCACCTAACTGTTGAAGTGCTTCTTCTTGGATGGGCATCTGTGTTATGAAACATCCACTCTTGTCTCTCCTATGTGTCTTTTGATAGTGAAATTTACAAAACTCCTCTTCTGCACTTTGGAGAGACTTGTTGGCTATTTTTTTGATTTGCTAAAACTTAATGCATCCTTCTAAGCTTTAGGACTGAAAGATTAGCCCTCGGTAATGATTTGAATTTTCAGTTTCAAAAACACCTTTAGCAATAAACCTAAAAATTGAATCTTGAAAAAAGAAAGTACTACACGATCGTATCTTTTGCTGTTTCATTAACTCAAAAAAGACCTCAGCACCCAGTATGAGGTTGATCTTTCCTGTCTTGTCAAAATCTGGGTCCACTAAGTATATGTGCTCAGGTATTTTAAGATTCTCCACATTAAATGCGGTAGCTGGTACAAATTCCGTTGTTTTATGTACAATGAAAAAGTTGGCTCGTGTTGAAAAAGAAGAATTTCCATTGGTAATAAGCACCTAAGCATTTCAAGCTTAGGTGCTATAAGCATTTCAAATTTAACATTTGTCACATTTCCACCCAACCCACTAACAGGCCTCTTTTTTGGTTCCTTTCTCAACTGTAAATTATTTTCAAAATCGGAAGCTATAAAGTTTGCTTGACTGCACAAGTCTAACAAACAACATTCTTTACTATAGTATGCATTTTGTGGGTTCCACACCCAAACTATGGCAGTTGCAAAGAGAAAAGTTTTGTTTCTGTGCTCATTTTGAATCGAAAAACTTTGTAATTTCGTAACTTCCTTTCATTCTATTGAAAATTCCTTCACTGGAAGTACTGCTAGCTCCTGAAGTGAATAGTAAGTGAACGTTCTGAAACCTGAAAATGTGGTTCATTGGTGCAACAATTGCTCTGATTGCAGTGCAAAAGCAAATTATGTTTGCCATACAAAAACTGCAGGTATATTTAGAAGCACATGAATTCATTTTGTGCAGCATATTTAAATAGTTTCAAAATAGTTTATGCTTTTTCACAACATTGAATCTTTCTATAGGTTTTATTTCTAAAAATAATGATCATTTATACAATGGATGAACATTTTTGCAAAGCTCACACTTAGTTGAATCTGATTTCACAACAAAATTCTGATTTTTAATATGGTTTGGATTAACTTTATTTTTGTTAACAAGTTGCATATTCTCCAAGTTTGGACACTCATTTCCTAAATAATCTATGAAAGATCTCCAGTCAAGCAGATCTGTAGACTTTAAAGGCATGTCAAATTGACATCTTGATTCTTTATCTAAATTTTCTAACATTAAATTTGTGATTTTGTCCTCTCCTGCCTTTGTTAAATTACTAAGTTAATAATACTTTCCATATTAATTTTATTAATGGTTTTAATAGGGGAAGTAATTCACAGAAAAAGTTACAAGATATTTCTCACCAATTTTGGAAGTTTCACATGAGTAAAAAAGACACTGCATATGAAAAATGCAATAAAGGAGCATTTCTTGTCAGCAAAAATATTTTACCTGTAATTATTGAACATTGAAGGAAATTTTATCAGAGCGTGAGGAAGAAAATTTTACTATACACATTGTAATAAACCGCTGTTCATTTAAATGAAAATCTTCACTTAATGTTAAAGCATATCATCTTTGCCAGGATTATAATGGTTTAATAAATATAAACTCTAAACGGTACGTATATATACATATAGCTTATTGTTCGATACAGGCTATTGTTTTTCTGTTTCATATTTGGAATCTTTTTTAGACATAATGTAAATAGTCAGATGCAAAGTTTTGCAAAAGTGTTAATCTTAGCCATGGAACTTCATGATTTATCCTACAATTATGCCATGCATTTTGCCTCCCCTATCTAAATAAAATTTTTATTCTCTACTACAGTCCTTGTTTTTGAACTTTTGATACTAAACCTTCACAGTCATATGATACAATAATAGTACATAAAGCTACATACTTAATTTGGTGACATTCTGTAGTTGACTTTTTGCAACAGAACTGGAAGTAAATGGTTGTTCTAATCTGGTACCATGATAGTCCCATTTCAGACACATTGCACTTAATGCTAATGATATTTTTTTTACAAATTTCACAACACAGTGTTCTACAGCAAGTCTCTCTCTTTCAAACAGCAAAAATCATTTAAAAAAATATGATTGAACATGGCAATATAAACTGTTTGTGCAGATGACATTTGTGGGTGCAGGAAACTTTCATTAAAACCCGATATTTTATATTGCAGTAGACTGAGTTATTTTAATACTTAAATGTTGAATTAATAAGATCCCTGTGTACAAACTTCAATGTGTGTGTGTATATATGATATTTTAATGAGCATTGCTTGAAAGAGATGCTATGATAGAAGAAACTGGTACTTTTAACATCTAGCAGTCGTAAAGGCTGAGTGTAGATGCATGAAGACGATGCTGCCAGAACTGAATTCGAAGACTCGCAATATTTATTTTTCTGCACATCAAAAAACATTTTTTATAGACAAGATATTTCTAAAACATAATTAACTACAATAATTTTTATGTTACACGGGTTAAGAAACAATACTATGTCATCTTAGGTAAAGAACAAAAGAGAAGATTAAGCATAGCAGCTCAGAGCTGTTTTGCAGGGCAGGAGAAGTTAAGAGAAGTGCCGTGATTGCTCATGAAGCAGTATTTATGCTAGGCAGGTGCATATGTATGTAGCTAGCGACTGGTTAATTTTAGGTTTTAGTTCTCTTTGCAAGCAACGTTATGTTAGTGTTGTATGATTTTGGAAAGATCTCAAATTTGGGAGAAAAGATGAACTTAGGGGGAGAACATCAAATTTAGAATAGTCAGTTTTGAAGTTGCCAATTATTTCTTAGCTTAACCATCATGTTTTATCTTACATATATATATACTGTTGCGTGTGCATGAGTTTGTAATAGATTGAATGCATACCAGTCTGTATCACAGATTGATAAAATTTATTTATCAAAGAAATGTTTCAGAGTTCTGGAATTTTCCACAGAAATACTCATACAGGTGTTCACAGTATCACAGAGTACAGTCAATAGTTACACTCCAAACTACTGAGAATGTTAAACACAACTTAATGCAAAGTGCATCTAAAGAGAAAACTAACACAACTTAATGCAAAGTGCATCTAAAGAGAAAACTATACTCCAAACTCACGCTGAACTAACAACAACTGAAAACAGATGCTCTCTCCAGCCGCTGAGATATTTCTAATACTTTCTGCTTCTTGAAATTACTGGAAGGCAGTATGAAGGTCAAATTATGGTTACAGCTAATATAGTTATATTTATTCAATTACAGTGATACAGGGACCAGACAAAAATGTCACCAAATGGTTGCTAGGTTTGGTGACTTTTGGCGATAAAAATTAGTCACCAAAATCGTTTCCAGCTTGGCAATATCACGCCAAATTACCAAAATACCTATTTAACTTGGCATAGCTTTTCTTTCTAGATTTTTTATGTTACATTACACAGAAAAATAGAAAAAATCTACGTATAATTCCACTAAAATCATCTATCTGTATAGAATATTCATAAAAATATTTATACACTGTGTCACAAAAATTTCTTTAAACAAAAATATCCCAGTATTATTTTCTTACTGAAAACTTAATTAATTATAGAAAAAATAGTAAGAAATTTCTTACTATTTTGTCTATAATTAGTTCATGACCAAGAAAATAGTAAGAAATTTAGATCGTATTCTCTGTATTTTTGTTGTTTTGGGATTTCTTCATTAAAAAATGATTTGATGTTTTTATTTATTTATTTTTTAATTAGGAAATTTTGGGATTTTACTGGTTTTAAATTTCATTTATATCTTTGTGGATTTGGTTCTAAATTTCTTACTATTTTGTCTATAATTATATATGTTTGTGTATTTGTAGTGTAATATATAATTAATATATTCTTTCATCAATAAATTCTAACATTTGTTTTAACTGAGGATTTTGCTTTTTATTGGCATATTGTATTATTATAAGGTAAATGATTCAAGATTCCTTAATTTGTGTTTTGATGTAGTTGCTTTATTTTTAACTGTTAGAGTTTATCATACAAATACTGTTATATATTCTATTGCATCTAATGAGTTTTTTTTTTTTTTTTTTTTTTTTTTTTTTTTTTTTTAAATATGTACAGGTCATTGTTTAAGAAGAAAAGTCCTTTCATCTTGAAGCTGTATTCATTGTTCATATTGAAAGATATTTGTAAAAATTACATACTGTATGCTTTGTGAAATGTATTTAAATTTGTATATTGTATCCATTTCTATAAATTTTATAATAAACTTATGCTAATAAAAATATTTTCATGCTGTTTTATAATTGTTCTTTGGCCGAAACTGAAATGGCAGTTATAATTTTATTCTTTTTTTTAAATGAAAATAATAAAATCTTGAATTTGATAAAATTTATAAAAAAATAAATGTGCATATTTGTCTAAAAAATCTGAAAATACAAGTGTAACAAAATATTTTTTATTTGTAAAAATATCAAGTTTTCAATATATCTTAGAGAGTCCTTCAGTCCACATATCAAAGCATGTGTCAAATACATTTTGTTGAAGCTACTGAAGTGAAGCAAACTTTTGCAGCTGAATTAATGTCAGTATTGAAATTGAAATTATTTTGAAACGACAAGAAATTACATAGAGGACAGTACCTTAAATGCTCTAAAATGTGATTCTAATATATTTTATAAGAAATTGCCGAACCCAAGCGGCAAAATGGGGAAAACATTTTCATGGCATAGTGTTGACTCTGACCAATTTTACATCACTTTCTTGATGTGTGGTGTCACAGATATTTGAACACTAAAACATAATATGCAGCACTGACAGTAGTTTTCAGAGGATTGGCTCGCTGACATGGCCTTACTTTTGCAACAATAATAAAGAAAAATGACCTCTGCCTTTCAACATAATTTGTTTAGTGGAATTTTTTTCCAGGAGGGAATTAGTTGATTTGCTATATGGTTTGTAAGGTTTGCCTCATTTACGAAGTAAATTGACCTGTGTTGGACCTTGTGACTCTTAGTGAAATAAAGATCCATCATCAATGATAATGGACCATGTTTTAACAAGAGTTATTACTATTTTCAGGAAGCTGACATTTTTTTTAATGTCCATTTTCCTCACATGACAATAATGATGTACTCTGGCTATAATTTGTTTACTGTTTATGAAGATTGTTGTGGAGCACATACAGTGTAGTCTAGCATGTGAAGTAACAACATTTTTCAAATTTTAGTTGCTAGCACTAGGTTTTTCATGTGATATTCATCAATTTTCTTATAAGGTTGCCTAGACATTGCATTTTCTAACATTTTCAGGTCGACCGGATTTAAAAGTAAATTCCATGAGAAAATTACCTTTTTTAAAGTCACAGTGGTCTAAAGGTCCCAGGCTCACCTCTCTCTCTCTCTTTTTTTTTTTTTTTTTTTTTTTTTGGGGGGGGGGTAAGTTCATGTTATTAAATTAAATGTTTTACCCAAATAATAGCACTATGTTTTAAAGTAAACTTTTATAGCACACTATATTTTAGTGTGCTCCATCATCATTTTGTAACTCCATCATCATTGACCTGCATTGTAGTATGCGAAACTATAAAAGTATTCTGTATTTATATAACTTGAAATTTTGCATATAAATACAGGATAAGTCTACTGTTTTAAAAATTTTTGTGAAAGATTCTTCTTAAATTCAGAAAGTTGTCTTCAGCTTCTTACTTTGGTTCTCACAATGCTATCAGTTTTGAGGGAAAAAAAGGGGGACTTGCTATTTTTCTAAGAAGGTATTTCTATATCTTGTGTTATATTTAGGATTTTAAAATGGTTCAAATAAATATTTAAATTATGAAGCAAATTCTATTTATATGCATACAAAATTAATTAGGGTAAGTAAAATACATTACTTACCCTAATTAATTAATAATACATTACTTACCCATATAAGACAAGGCATGGCAATACTTCTTCTAAGAATTGCATACTAAAGCAACTATTCCATCCCAACAATTAGCATAAAAGGCCCCAAAATGTTGAGAACATTTTTGCTACCTCCTTATATTCCCCCATAGTTGCAACAGCTTACTATGATTATTAATTAAAAGTGGAATAAATCTAATGTTAGTACTTGCACTTTTTCCTAGCATGTAATTTATTCCCATGCTTATCTTACTTGTATGTTTGTATACTCTTTAGTACATATAATTCATAAATAAAGTGTCAAATAGTTATTTTTAATTACACTAGAACTGCATTTGTGCCTGTTGGAGCAGTATGATAATTATTGAAAGTTATATTCAAAAATCAAAGATTCAACATTGGTTCCATGTAAAAGTTTTCTTTTTCATGCATTCAGTGTTGATCAGTCTTTGCAGTGACAACCAGTCCCAGTTTGCAGTGATCTCATGCTTTAAATTAAGTGCAAAGCAGCATAAAGCTGTTGAGAACTTCACTGCAATAAGAATAATAGCAACATCAACAAAAACTGGGAAGTATACACTATGTCCACCAATATTCTTACCAAACTTTTATTTTCATAACTGTTGGTCGTACACATATATTTCCAGTTGCAAAAATGTTTCAAATGAAGCAAAAATTCTTTTGGGGAGGATATTAAATTTAAAGAAATAAATATTGTAAAAATTATATTTAGCTTTTTATGTGCTCCCTGAACTTGATACTTATGTTGTTAAATTGAAAATAAATAATTAAAATTGTTATAAAAAATAAAACACAAAAGGTTTAACACCCATATTATAAAAAAGACATTAAATTTCAAAATTTGCAATTTTTGACGCCATTTTTTAATTTGCATTGAGGAATTGGTTAATAAATAAATTACAATAATTTGAGGTTGACTTTTCCCCCCTTGCATTTCATTCAGTCATATTCTTTGGTGATTTGCTAGAGGCTTGAATTTATAATTTTGTTACATTTATTATGCTGAAAGAATATTTACACAAATGTAAGTTTTCAAACTCTGAAAATATATTGTTAGTATTCTCATGAAGTTTTATTACTTTAGAATCATAATCTAATAATCATGCAAATAAATCATCTAGAAATATTTTTACTTTAAATTATTGCAAGTAATGTTGCTAGTTGATTATGTGCCTATATTGAAGCCTGCCAATGTTTTCTATAATATAAGTTCTGTGAGATTCTGACAATCTCCATTTAAAAAATTGTATGGATCAATATTTTTCACGATGATTTGCACTGAAATACTCGTTATTTGATCTATTAGCAGCAGAACCAATTAAAAAAAATCATACTAAATTTAATTGTAATCATTATTACGTACAGTTATTAATTTCTAGTACAAAGGGGCTTTGTCCCTGAAGGATTATAGTTTTCGTTTTGCGATTTTGCGTTGAAAACTTTGAAAGGCTGTATCACTTTCCAGTTCATTGCCACCAAGTACTATCGCCCTGTATTATATTTGAAGAAATTAAATAATGATGAATCTGCATAAGTGTATGTATGTTTCTAGCATTGTGATATAACAACGGTACTTAGAGCCGTCCAATTTTGAATGACTTAATCCTATTGCGAATATGGGCATCTGAAAGCCGAAATTTGGGATTTGTTTTATTATCGATTTCATATTTTGTAAACCTTTAACGAATTTTTGATTAACCAACTCAACGGTTTAAAGGAGAGCAATGGGAACATTCTAGGAGGGGACTTTTCACTAACTATTAAGAACATATAGTGAATTTGAGTTTTAGAAAGCAGCGCTTCCTTTTACTCTGTATCAGGTGAAGAACATCGGTAAAACAAAAAGACGAAAGTACGAGGGCAATGCCAAAAAAAAGGTCCCCTATATTTTTAGATATACAAAGAACCGTTTATTTTCTATAATTGCTACATCACTTTAAAGATTGAAGAATGCTTTATTTTTCAACATAATCGCCATTTCAGTCGATGCATTTTTGTAGACGCTGTGGCAATTTTACAATGCCCATGTCATACCAGCTTCCCGCCATGCCCCTTCAGGAAGCGTTGAATCATCAACAGTTCAATCTTCAGAAGAATCAACCCGTTGCTGTTTGTGGTCTTCTGTCAGTATACGTGGCACCCATCTTGCACACACCTTCCGATATTGCAACTTTTCCTTTAAAATCCTGAGAATGGTGCTTCTGGAAACCTGAGAAACCAAAATGCAGAGAGCATCCAGAGTGATCCTCCGATCTTTACGCATGAGTTCCTCAACTTTCGCGATTGTCTCGTCGTCAATTGATGGCCTCCCGCTCCTATCTTCGTCATGAATTTCAGCACGACCGGCAGTAAACTCTACACCACTTGCGAACGTTTTTGACATCTATGCACGACTGTCCATACACTTCCGTCAATGGGCGGTGAACTTGAACCGGTTTAACGCCTGTTGCGTTCAAAAATCGAATAATTCGCACTTGGCGGTAACGTTTATCAGGAGCTCCATTTCGAATGGTTGTCAAGCCAAGACTGAGCATCCGAAAACTCCAACTTGCTTTATTTGCCGCGATTAACCTGCGAAATTGCAAGTTGTGTTCCGGCTATCGAAACTTGGTGCTTCTAGGAGCGCTGCAGGTAAGGAAATGCCGAACGTAGTTCTCGTGGAGACAGGATAGCAGATGCAGGGTGTGTGACCAATGTCACGTGATGAGCGATAAGACATCTGGTTGGCGATGAGGTATCCAGGCATCGTAGCGCTGTAAATCTGAAGTTTTACAATACATAAAATAGTACTAAATCAGTTCATAAAAGGTGTGTGTTGCAGTCATAAATGCAGAAAATAAAATACGATTCCAAAAAGTATAATAGTATATACAGGAAAATTATAAGTAATATCTTGTGGGCGTGGCTGTGTGTGTCACATGATCATCCGGCTAAGATTTCTAAACATCATTATTTACAAGTCAAATAAGTTTCAGAGTACTACATACTTAGAAACACAAATTATGTTGGAAAATCCTGGTTTCCACTGAGTAGAAAAGCGGCATATGGACGGAGGTGCCTGTCCTCGTGTAAAATTTCATAGTGAAATAGGTTGAAAATGTCCATATGTTGGCACTCCTTAGCGGCGTCATAAAATGCCGTGTTAGTTCTTCTTAAATATTCCACTACTGTATCCATTTTTAAATCTTCATGGAGACGTTTGTTCTTCACATACGGGTGTGCATTTGTGATAATTCTTAAAAATTGGTTTTGCACAACTTGTAATTTTTGGATTTCACCCTTCGTAGCGGTAGTCCATGCTGGCGAAGCGTACGTCATGATGGGTCGGATTGTGGCTAGATAAATAAGTCGTTTCT